GAGCGGCGGGACCCCGAGGAGTGGCGGCTGGAGAAGGTGAGGCGCGGCCGGGAACCTCCTATCCCTGCAGCAACGCGGTTCGGCTTCTCGAAATAAACTGAGGCAGCGAGTGCTGTGGAGAGTGAGAACTCTTTAACTTCGCCCTCAGCCGCGGGGCACCCTCTGCCAGGCAGAGTATTGCTCCTTCATCCTGTCGTTTCAAAGCTGTTTTTTTCTCCTCAGTATGTGTCTGCTCTCGAGGACATGCTCCGAGAGCTGAAGAAGCAGTCGAGGTGAGTCGCTGGATTTTTTTATCTCTTACTTATAAGCCAGACGCAGCCCACAAACACGGCAGCAGTGCAGACACTTCACAGAACCACAGAGTGTCAGGGATTGGAAGGGACCTCAAAAGATCATCCAGTCCAACCCCACTGCCAGAGCAGGAACCTCAATGAGATCACACAGGAAGGCGTCCAGGCGGGTCTTGAATGTCTCCAGAGAAGGAGACTCCACACCCTCCCTGGGCAGCCTGTCCCAGGGCTCTGGCACCCTCACTGGAAAGAAGTTTCTTCTCAAGTTGAAGCAGAACCTCCTGTGTTCCAGCTCACGCCCATTGCCCCTTGTCCTACCATTGGGCATCACTGAGAAGAGCCTGGCTCCATCCTCCTGACATTCGCCCTGTACATATTTATAAACATTAATTAGGTCTCCCCTCAGTCTCCTCTTCTCCAAGCTAAAGAGCCCCAGCTCCCTCAGCCTTTCCTCAGCAGGGAGATGCTCCACTCCCCTCATCATCTTGGTGGCTCTGTTCTGGACTCTCTCCAGCAGTTCCCTGTGGAAATGTCTGTCAGTGAGGGAGAAACACAGCAAAGCAGCTGTGCCACAGCCCTGTGAGGAGCTGTGCAACTGTCCTGTTCTGCTGCTTGTCAGCCATGGCCCTGGGCAGTGCCCTGTCCCTCTGACATGCTGTCCCTCAGGCTTCAGTGCCTTGGAAAAGGTGATTTGCAAGGAGTTACAAGTGTGTTCCTACCCTGAGGCTAATTCTGATAAAAGATACTTCATTGAAGAATCGTGGGTTAGTTTATAATAGAAAATATTGATAGATTCTGGTTTTCATAATGATTTTTTTTCTAATTCCAATAGCAAGCCAGCCCCAGAACTCCTGAATGAATACTCTCGCAAAGTGGACTTCCTAAAGGGGCTTCTGGAAGCTGAAAAATTGGTAAGATCCCTTAGTTCAGCTTGAAAAGACTCCATTTATATTCACCCCATTGCCTGGTTCCTATTTTTGCCTTTATCTTATGTCTCAAAATAACACTTGTTAAAATCTTACTAGGCAGTCCTTGTAAAAACATGAATAAATTTATTGGCTTTCTGTATGTTGTTAGAAGGGGGTGTTGTATGAAACCTGAAACTTCTTTCCTCCTTTTCAAAAGCAAAAGTACCTCTTGCCTATATCCTTCTCACTTCTTTGATGTGAGATACAGAGGCAGATACTGTCCATTAGGCCTAACGCCTCTTTTGAACAGAATCACATGGATTTGGAGAGCTGTGAAGTGCTGATAAGCTGTACTGCAATTAGTGCTGGACTCACTTCGCTGTTCTGTGGGAAGCAGCTGTGGAAATGCTCCCTGAATCTTTGTTCATCACACATCTGGGTGGCCTCACAGTGCAGAATGTGATATTCATGACTTTTCATTGCTTCTTCCTACTCACAGTCTTCATCAACTGAAAAGGCTCTGGCAAATCAGTTCTTGGCCCCTGGACGTACCCCTACAACAACCAAAGAGAGAACCCCAGCTACTAAAACAGTTCATCTGCAGACAAAGGCTCGTTGCACAGGCAAGATGAGGAGTGAGCTGCTTGGTACAGTATGTTTTGGTCCTACTGCTTCTTTACTGCTATTTGATAGATTGTCTCTTGTTGCCTTTGGTGGCTGTGCCTCAGATGTGTCCCAGGATGGGTGGGAATCACCTTTTTCTGGTTTGGATAGTCTAAATGCTGGGCACAGGCACTATGCTAGGCCTGGAGAACTCTCTTTTATCACTACCCCTTTGTAATTTTTCGTTCTCTCTCTGCCTTCCAGGACTCCTTGGCTATGGATGGTAAGTTTAATTTGTTATTTTCTCTAACTTTAGTTAACCTGGGTCTTAAAGGGAGGGAAGGAGGAAGGTCAAGCATTGGAGATTGGCCACAGTGTCTCAGTTCATTTCAAGATAGCAGATGTTAAAAACAAACAAAACTAAAAAGCCTTAACAGATGAAAGCCCAAGCGTTGTTGTCAGTGTAGTAGCAGAGACTTGCAGGAACCTATTTTTCTAGAATTTGTACAGAAACAGACACTCTAATTATAGAATTAGCAAGGGCAATTTTATTGTTGCTCCTGTTTTCTTCTGCTCTGAGCAAATCATGTGATTTTAGGCGCTTAGAGTAGGCGTTGTTCAGTTCCTCTTAAATATACAGCCATGGTATTCACATAGGGAACTGGTAGGAATTAATTTGCGGTTTCCATAGCTACTGTTACAGTGGCTGGAGCTGGGCCAATCAAACGTGTCCTGAAAGAGAACACCAAGACACACAGGCTTAAACCATGCCCTCAGGGATATGATTCATCTGTTTTTTTCTCTCCACCATACTTTGATGTTACCTGTTGTCTTTTCCTTGTGGAAAGCAGGTAGTTATTTGAAATCCGTATTCCCTGAGGTAGAGAGCCAAGTAGGATTTGGACATCTGAAAATCCCTTACAGAAAACTTGTTTCTTCAGTTTATGATTTCTCAGGAATTTATAACATGCTAAAACACAAATTTTAACTCTTTTTCCAGATTCTGAGGAGTTAAACGTAAGGAAACGGAAGTAAGTAAAAATTTCTCATTCTGATGCTCAGTGTTTTGGGCACTGCTTTCCCAGTGACCTTTAAATCACAAAGGTACTTCCATTTGGGTGAAGTGCCTGCAGGTAGAAAGCTGATTTCAGCTGATTTTACTGTTCTTGTTGTCTTGTCAGAGTTGCAGAGACTGGGGAGACCTTGGGAGGTCAACCCACAAGTACAAATCCCAATTTTTTTTTCCCTTGTGCTCTTGCAGAGGCCTTGCACCTGATGAGAAGCAGTCAGCAGTGGAGCTGGATGCTGTGTTACAGCACCATCAGGATGTGCAGGAGAAGTTAGCTGAAGAAATGCTAAGTTTGGCTCGCAGTCTCAAAAACAACACTCTGGCTGCACAGAATGTGATAAAACAGGATAACCAGGTATAATGCATGTTAAAGTGCTAAACTCTCAATTTTGCCACCCAGAAGGTTAAAGTGCTAATATGTTAAATCCTGTGTCTACAACTTGATTCCAGGTGAGATGAGAGTGGGGAGACTTGGAGGCAATACCTGTCTTCTTCCACAGTGCAATTGAACCTTTCTCTTGGAACAAACATTGGTCAGAACTTTCATATCTGAGTTTGAAACCTTTTCTTCTCTTTTATCCCCAGACACTATCCCATTCTCTCAGGATGGCAGACCAGAACTTTGAGAAGCTCAAGGATGAATCTGACCGCCTTGAACAGCATGCAAAGAAATCAGTCAACTGGCTATTATGGATCATGTTAATTGTAGTTTGTTTTATATTCATCAGCATGATTCTCTTTATCAGAATCTTCCCCAAACTGAAATGATTATTTTATTTTATTATTTTATTTTTTTTAAAGCTGCCAGAGTGCAGTTGGGAAGCTCAGCTGGTATGAGAACTGGCAACAATCAATTTCTTTGCCACTTATCATGTCCTTAAAGAGGCTGCCCAAGGCCTACCCTTGCACCTCTCCTGCAATCCTCTGGATTCAGTGTAGGGTTTAATGGGGAAGGTTTTCTACACTTGGACACTTGGTTTCTTTTTTTACTTAGTTAATATTGTTGCCTGTTGAGGGGAAAACTGGAATAAAAATAATTTACTGAGTTGCTAACGGGTTCCTTAGTGGATAGATACAGTCCTGGTTTTAATGTGGCTGTGGCAAATGTTAGGACTCCTAAAAGACATTTACTCAATATGAATATAAGTAACAGTTGAAGTCTTACAACTTTTCTTGTCTTTACAGCTTTACTGTACTGAAGTAGGACCTTGCTGCCAACAGGATATTTAATTACAGAGTTATGTACGTACACAGCTGTAGGGTGTAGGAGGAGAATGCTGCCATTGAGTTGCTTGCCTGGCTCAGATTCAGAGAGTATCAACAGGTAAAACTATTCTCAGGCTCACCTTTTTCCCAGATGGGTATTTGGGACTTTGGACTTTGCAGTATTCTTCAGTTCAGACTTTAGAAGGGCTGAAGTTGCTTGCTGTTGCAATGTTTGCTTCCCTTCTTGTACGCGCAAATGTTCTCACTTACTTACCCATTGTCTGTTATGTTGATGCTGTTGCTTGAAGAAATACACTGTGACCCTGGCATGGCAGAATTGTACACACAGTACTCTCCGTGTGGTGTAGACCTCACCTGTACATACAGTTTGTCACTGTAAGGTGAGGGCAAAGGAAGCTGGTGTCTTCAAGACAGAAATAATAATAATTAAAAAATAAGCCTTTAACTTTTGTTATTCTGGTCAAGAGTGTTCGTGTCAAACTTGTATTCTTAAAGGTCACTACAATAAAGCAGAGATGAAATAAACTAGAATTAATATTTTTAAAACACTGCTACGGGGAGAAAAATTTAGAGCCTGCAGTAAAGCAAGGTTTGTTGTGACAGGGTAAGAGCCGTTTTGAAGTGCTTGTGATGAGCTAAAAGCAAACGGTGCATCTCGACTGTTTCCTCTGGAGTCACTGGGAAGTGCTGGTGTTTCACATGGAGGAAGGGAGGAGCAGCAAGTGCCCCCCGAGTGTTCTTTTGCCGTTTCTATTGCTGTTGGGAACCACTAGATGGGGTGTTCTCCGTCTGTCTGTCTGTCTGGCCATCTCTGCAGCCCCGGGTTAGAGGAAGGAGGGGGGGAAGAGCTGTTTGTCGCAACAATTGAGTTCTTATGAAAATCCAACTGCTTCTTTGAACGCATCCCAGAGTAGCAGGCTCTGTTTGGGTTGTTCTTTGTTCTTTACACAAACAGCTGTGTTAATGAAGCCAGTTAACATTTTTCACATAAAGTATTTTTGTCCATGTAACAGGATGTTTGCAGTTTAGTGTGCCATTCACTTTCAGATCATCAAATCAGTGATTATACTACGAGTACAGCTTTTTCTTCTGGCTCCTCATCTACACGATGTGCTTGTTCTGTTCAAGGAAACTTGTCACTTACCTTGAACTTTATAGAAATTTACATTTGTAACAATCCATTTATGGGCATTTCTACTTTTCCCAGAAGTTTTTCTTCAGCTGTGACGTTTGACATTTCACTGTGCTTCGTTAGTGAATGCTGTCTCACCAAATTATTTTTTTAAATTCTAATTGTTTACTACTTTCCCTGCAGGCATTTCAGTGCTGAGCTCTTCTCTTAGAGCAGAGGTTGTGTGTAGTGCTGGAATGTTTTTTGTGTGAGAGATACTGGAATGATACAACACTAATGCTTCATCATCTAGAACATTTTCCCCTTTATTACTTGAAATAATATTTTTTTCCAGCTTGTATCACTGCAGACAAGTTTAAAGCTGAATTTTGCTATCGGCTCTATGTTGGCTATAACTTTTTGGCACTTACAAATTAGAAGTTCAAGTGGAAAGACCTGAAAGGGAACTACTAGTGATAGCTTGCCCCCAAGAAAATATCCACCCCTCCAAGTCAACAGCAGTTCCTTTACAAAGAAGCCTGCTAGGAAATCAGTTCAGAAACCCATGCTGTTTAACTTTTGACCGTTGACATTTCATGAGTGTTTGTTATTTTGAAGGATCAACTGCCAGGGATGAGATTGAATCCTGTAACTACTAACACCTTTTGTGATATCTGGCATGACTGTTGAGCACAGTGCCTCCAGCACTGCACTGAGCTGCTGGTCACCTCTGACCTGGTGGAAGAATGTTACCTTCTACCCTGGCAAACCAAAGGGATTAATTGCCTCAGTGGTCAACAATCTCCCTGGACACAATGACTGTTTTGTCAATTGGCAGTTGCAGTCTTTGCTTTTCTTGAGTTCATTTAGTCATTATGATCATTCAAAAACACTTTGAAGATCAGTGCTAGTAGTATTGAGAATAAACAATTACTCAAGGCTTTGTGACATTTCATGGATGGAGTGACAGTGTTTATTTTTGACCAATGTCTGGTGGTGGTGGTTGTACAATCTGCTCCTTCAGCCCTCAGCTCCATTTCAGAGCGTGGCGTTCTGATGTGCTGCTTTTTACAGGATAATGTTATATATAGAAACATCTTTTTGTGAGAGTTGCAAACATTGTGAAGCGAGAATTGCTTAACTTTCCCAAAAGCTTGGGAAATCCAGATGGAGAGATGTTTATCAGGCAGAGGGATGGGCCTTGGTTGGCTTCTTGGCAGACTACCTACTTTCAGGCAGCAAGTTAAAAAAAAAAAAGAAATCTTTTGGAGACTTGGGTCATGTCAGGCCAGTGAATGCACCGTTTGGAAGCAACAGTAACTATAGGTCAGTCTAAGCTTTTCTGGTAAACATCGTTGGTGACAGAAACTCTTTGTATTGTAATACTTAATGTTGAAGCAGTATCCTCAGTCACAGCAGATTTGATGTTTTAGAAGGATTTGTTACAGGAAGGATTCATGGATGGCAGGAGCAGACTGCTGTGTGTGATGGCTGCTGTGGATGGGTAATCTCGACTTGTTTTGGGTATGTGTTCCCCAGGCTTTGCTTTACAAAACCTCAGTGTATCAGACTTTATAGGTTGTGAGCAGCTTTCCAAAACGGGCAGCTCTTCTGCCAAAAGGGACGTATCTTAAAAGGGTGAAAATGATGGAGTGGACAGGCCGGGGTTCTGCTCCCAGCTGTTCACCATGATCAATACCAGGCAAGTCACCTCCATTCTCTGCTGTAAACCTGACATGAAACCACAGAATCAAAGTCTGATGATTAATAGTTACAAGCATGAAAAAAATTTTAACCATGATAATATAGCAGATAGGAGCAGAAAATAATAATCAAATTTCTTGGTCTATAGCAGAGTGCTGATGACATTCCAGAGTCCTACAGCCCAGTGCAGGGCTGGCTGGTAGCTCTTGTCCTGATCTGCCACATTGCTGAGGTTTGGTGTGTGCTCACTATGTGTTCCCACTGAACAGGAGTGACATAAAACCCGACTTCACTAAATCAATACCACCTGTCACATGACACCGCTGTGACATTTCTGGCACGAGCGCTACCTCCTCATAGGAGATGGAAGTGGGAAGCAGCAGCAGTTAGTGAATAATGGATTAGATATGCCTGATTTGTAACATTTACAAAGAAAGGGCGTGTCTCCTAGCTACAGAACAAACTGCTTATCAAAATGGGAACTAGAAGTTCTGTCTCGTTCCAAAATGCAAAATGAGAGAGGGGGGGAAAAATAAAACAGTGTGGAGCGTACAATTACGCTCTGCTGAACGTCCCTCTGCTACCCAGAGGGTTGTTCCAACAAATTTGACTCTGGATCAGCAAAAACATGAATTAGTGTAAAGGAATAAAAAAAAAGAGAGACAAAGAAAGGGGGGCGTAGGGGGGCCGAGCTGTAGATTAGAACCGGTAGAGCCAGTTGGTCACCTGGAGCGTGAGGTGCCCACACTGTGTATTAGAGAGTGACGCTGCCGCAGCCGCTAACTCGCACGTGGCTGCTGATAGAGAACAGCACGCCTGGCAGCAGCCGCGTAGGTGGTGCAAACTAGACGTGGGGTTGGCTTAGGTGTACTGTGAGAAGCTGTAGGAAAGAATGGTGGATGAGGAGGCTGGAGGGGTTTGAAGGCCAGATAAGAGATCGAGCTCGCTGTTTAGCAGCTGGGCCCCGCGTGCTAGACAGAGGGTGGGCATGCTTTTTATAAGGGCAGTTAATGATAGAACAAGGGGAAATGGCTTTAAACTGGAAGAGGGGAGGTTTAGATTAGATATTAGGAATAAATTCTTCACTGTGAGGGTGGTGAGACACTGGCCCAGGTTGCCCAGAGAAGCTGTGGCTGCTCCTCCCTGGAAGTGTTCTCGGCCAGGCTGGATGAGGCTTTGAGCAACCTGGTCTAGTGGAAGGTGTCCCTGCTGCTGGCAGGGGGGTTGGGACTGGATGAGCTTTAAGGTCCCTTCCAACCCGAACCAGTCTGGGATTCTATGATTCTACACTGACTGTCGTCTGGTTCTTGTAGCAATCAAGAAAAATCTACGTTCTTTCGAGTAGATTTTCGATTTCGAAATCAAAAGATTTCATGCTGAATTAGAACAAAAATGTTCTGACAAGTCAAATATTGCATCTGCCTCTGTGACATCCAAAAATTAAACTGAACCAACACAGAAACTGGACAAAAAAAGATGAAAGGAGGCAGTGCTCTCCAGTCCAGGGGGAGCTGTGATTTCCTTTGCATCCTTCACCTCCAGTTGCTTTGAACCTCATGTGGCAGAGATGCCCTCTGCCATTTTCACCTTGGGCAAAGGTTTTATTTGCTAATGTAACAATGGAATTCTCCAGAAGGATCTGACAGTGTTTCCTGTTTCAACAGTAAAAAAAAAATGGGACTTCTGTCCTTAGCACGTAAAGTGACCGGATCTTCATCCTCTGAGCCCTCTCCCGTCAAGAGGAGAGCAGTCACTTATCGGATTTGCTGTGGACGGAAGGAAGGGTAAGAAAGGAACTTTGTCA